CTAGAACAGCTTCCTCCAGGGATTCCTGACAGACAGGATTTGATGACGAGAAGCCACCAGAATGCGTGTCAGAGATAAGCAAAGCCATCGTGAAGAATTCTGCTTCCAACAAAACGGGGTGTCACTGATCCCTGAAGACAGGGTCCCTACCGCAGAGATGGTCTCAGTTCCTGGAAGTTCCTCCCGAGGACTGCTTGGAAACGAACGGTCACAGAATTCCAGAGCCCAGGACATCAATAATGAATAAGCACGCCGCTGACCCCCACCCGACAATCTTGCAGCAGCTTGACACCGGCGGCCCCTCCCTGAAGCAGGTCTTGCATCTGGGGAGCCCTTTGAGGCATGATTTGATTTAAAGAAAAGTAATCTTGTGATATTTATGCATGTGAAGGTGAACCCTCGTTCACAAACCAAAGCATGGCACGTTGCTTCTGGGCCGTTCTCCCACGACGGACAGTTTATGGCATGTGGGGAGACAGAGGACGCACATCACAGGGAAAGCACCTGGTCTCCAGCCCTGAACCGCTGCACGTGTTGTCGACAGACCGGTGGCATTAGCATCACTTGAGAACTTGCTAAAAATGCAGAATCTTGGTCCCTGAATCAGAATCTGCTTTTTAACAAGATCCCTAGGTGATGAAAATCTTAGGAGCATTTTTAAAGTTTGAGAAATACTACTCTAGCCAACAATTCATATGCGCGCGTGCACACACACACACACACACACACACACACACCCACCCACCCCAGAGGTGCTGTCGAACACAACGTCTTATTCCATGAGAGTCTGCCTGAGATGGGGTGGTTCCCAAGGAAGACACAAAGCCATGCCACGTCCACCAAGAATAATCCAAACACCCAGCAGGCAGCTGCTTAGGTGCGGCCAAAAAGCAGTAGTAGTAACAGGAAATGTACTGAGTTTTTACTAATGTTTGCATTCCCTACAGGAAGGTTTTCGTGCTCAGAATGGAGGCTAAAGATAGGAGAGGCTGGACCCAGATGCCCCGGTCCACCATCTATCCAGAGAGATGCTTGACCCTGGCATCTCTCCAAGGAATTCCTCGTAGTTAAGATGAAATAACAAGAAGAGAAAGAGGGATGAAATAATTGTGAACATCTTCCAATAAAACAATATGGCACCAAATCCCTAAATGGCATCTCCACCCCAGAGCTAGCATTTGTCCAAGGAAATCGCACTGGTGGCTTGCCTTCTGAGATCACTGGATTCATTATTATAAATCAATGACACAGTCACACTCCATGGTGGGGCAGGCACCGATGTCCCCTCGCTGAAGTCAGCACTGTGCTTTCGAAAACTTCTGAAGCAAATTTGGATACTAAAACAATGGTTGTCCGATATTAATCATCATAAATATAGAGACCATACTACGGACAGCCATTCTTTAAGCACCAAAGAACTGTGCCATCAAGAAGAGCTGGGCATCTTCTCCAAAGTTGGTGTCTCTTCCAGAAGGTTCTTCTCAGGTAGTCCAAACAATGAGGATTAGCAGGTCAGCTTCACACATTGAGAGTCAAGCCCATGCCTTGGGGGTCACACTCTCGGGCAGGGAAAGGGGTCTGGCCCCAGTGATCTGTCTCTAAGGTTTGCTTCATGTCCAAGAAGTGCCTCCAAGAGGCAGGATTTGATAAGTCGCCTGAATGCTGGGTCACCCACAACACACACCCATGGCCGATGCAAATCCTTGGCAGCACCAAAGAGTCCCATGGCCCCTTGCCAAGCATGGCCCTGCCTCCAGGGTTCTGAGGTTAGGGCACAAGTGTCCCCACCACAAACCAACTGCATGCACCCTCATCCCCACCCAGGCATGAGCCCCCTGGGAAGGGCTGATGCGTGCATCCCTTTACAGAACTTGTCGTGGCATCCAGGAAGTCTGCCGAAGCAGGATTTGATACTCAAAAAGAAATTGTCCTTGTATGATTCATCATAAATAAAGCGAACACACCAAGGATAATTTCTCCTCAAGTATGAAACAGCAGCACGGACAGGAACACCACCACCTCCAGGTCTTTAGCTCAAGGTTGGATGGTGATTGCTACCTGGCAAACCCAGTCACGCACGCGCTCATGCACACACACCACGCACATACAGGCATGCACAATGCATGCATCACGTTTGACCTCTCTTTAAGCACCAGGGAAGCAAGATGCCATAGAATTCTCACTCGGCTTGGCGTTCTCGCTCAAGAGTTTGCTTCAAAGTGTGGATAGTGGCTGAGGTCAAGAATCCAGGGACTGTCTCTCTTAAGCGCAGCAAATGTTCTCGGCACCCCTGCTGACCCCCACTGCATGTGGCATTGTGTTTCGAAAGCATCGTGAGAATGGCTTAGCTGCCAAGCATCAACACTGTCACTAGCCCCCACTGTAAACACCGTGTGTGCTCTGGGCTTCATAGTCCGTTCCATACCCGACAAAGGACTTGACTTCCATGTCTTGACATTGTTCCAAAAACCCACGGAGAGATTTTAGTCATAAGACCACCACCCCCAGTGATAGTTTCACAGCACACAAGGGTCCTGGCTACCACCTACGAAGTGCTGACCACCGGGCTCTGCTCTGAGCCGTGTACAAGTCTTAACTCATTCAGCCCCAGCAGCCCACGAAGTAGACGCCGATGTGATTCCCATTTGACATGTGAGACCACGGGCACAGCACGATGAGATCCTTGCCCAAAGTTGGACGGTTAGTAAATGTCAGAGGTGGGATCCAAACACAGGAAATCGAGCTCCAGAGTCTGCGCTCTTGATACTGAAAAAGTGGATGACCCTGTACGATTCGACACGAGCAAAACGAACAGGACAGGGATAACCACTCTCCAAGTACCAAAGGTTAGCACGGAAAAGAAAGCCACTGCCTTGGGTGGACTTGGTATGTCTTCAAGGCGCGGTCCTGGGGATGAATTAGATGCTGAGGGTTAGTGGACCAGGTCACATACCCCAAGCAGAACATGCACACTCACGTACCGAGTAACAGCAGGGACCACAAAGCCACTGCCCCGCACCAGCGCCACCCCAGCCATCAGCCCAGGCTGGTGACTGCCCGCTCAGGAAGCAGGGACCCAGACCACACACGTCGTGCATGCTTTTGGCCCCGCCCACACTGCACCAGGAGAGGGGATGTCCCAGAGGCCACTGCCTTCCCTAAAGTCATCCATGTGCCCGTGAAGTCCTCTCTGTGAAGTGGGGACCCGTGAGCAATTTGCCACACACAAAACGGATACACACGGTCATGCACACACATACCGCATCCCTTGCTGAGTGTGGACTGGGTCCAAGACAAGGTTTGATACTCACAGAGAGCTTGCCCTTGTATATTCCATGTCAATAAACCGAATATACAAAGGGCAACCTCGCTTTAAGTACCAAACAATAGCACTGGGCAGGTTCCTCACTATCATTCACAGGGCCGGCCTCGTCTCCCGGGGTTCATCCTGGGGGAGGAGGGGGTGGGAGACGCGGGATCAGCAGACCAGGTGGCAAACACCACCTGCCAGCCGTGTGCCCATAGGTCAGCTCTCCATCCCAAAGAAACCGGGAAGGGGCAGACGCCAGCACCCCTTCACCGGAATCAGCCTCATTTCCAGGCATCACTCCAGATTAGGACTTGTTCCTGAAAAGGAGATCCACCCCACAGGCCTTCCTGGGCACACACAGGGCTCAGCTTCTCCCTTTCTACAGGAACTCCCTGGGCTGGGACCACCATCTCCTTCCCAGTGTGGGCACCTCTCCAGGAAGTCTTCCTAAGGATGCACTCAGCACCGAGGTCCCAGGCACTGGATGAATTTACACCTTAGACAAAGCAAAGGCCCTGTGGTCACCATTCCTTCATCCATCTCACAGAGCCGTTAACACCAGTGTCATTCTCCATGCCAGCCCTTGCCCCATCCCTGCCAGAGGCTGGCATCGTGTCCATGAAGCCGGGCTAAGAAAGAGCTCATGGTCAACAGTAGTCAAACCCCCATGCCCCCGAGTAACTTAGGAAGCAGACCCACAGCCCATTCCCCACAGTGCCTCTCCCTCAAGGAGAGAGGAGCAGGAGCTGCCGGTCTAGGTGGCAGGTTGTGTGACTCATTACCCAGGCTGGCGCTCACCTCTCTTCACCAGGACGTTCACTTTCCTTGGGCTGAGGATGCGGCGAATGCCCTTCCTGAAGCTGGCTTCGGGTCCACATGACCCCCATGGCAGTCGGAGTGTAAAAAGCTGGCAGTCACACGGCCCAAGGAGTGTCTCCACAAACACAGAACCAGAGTCCCATTCTTAGGCCGCCATCCTAGGTGTGAGCAGAAAGCCAGCAGTCAGAGGCGGGGCACACACATGGAAGCAGAAGCAGTCGCCCTCTGACGTCCCACATTCACGCACCTGGTGCGGGGCTGACGGCTCCCACGGCTCATCCCCAGAGCTGCCTTCATGGGCAATCACAAACGACAAATAGAAACAAACCACTCTTGCAGATTCAGCCTGGGGACTGCAAGCTGGATCATGAACACCCAAGCATCCAAAAACAAAAAACAAAAAACGCTGATGAGCACACCTCAGACCCTTCCCCAAGGTCAATACCACCTCTAGGAAGCCCTCCTGGGCTGGCCTACCAGGCTGGAAACCAGCACAGACAGAGCCAGTGCTCCGTGCTCCAGCATCCCTCCTGTCTGTGTTCCCCTTGAAATGATGCAACATCCAGGTCTCCCTTATAAGGCTGATGCTGGGAACAGGAAGCCTTCTGGGTATGACTTGGTACCAAAAAGAGTCAGATCGATGTGTGATTTATCCTTAAAAAAGCAAACCACCATTAAACTCGGTGCACACAAAAAGGACCCCCCTCTTCTGCTGCCTCCAGGGAGTCCACAGGAAGAACCAGCACAGAGGGCAAAGGCAGAACCCAAGGGCCAAGATCACAGCCAAGCTCACGTTCCCAGACAGGAAAGCCAGGCCGTACCTGAGACGGGTTGACATCCGCGGCTTTGTCCCGGAGACAGCAGGGTCTGAGCGCCTTCCCCGACAGAGTTTGATACGCAAATAAGAGTCTCCCCCTGTATATTCACCATTAATCAAGTGAACATACAAAGGGTATCCTCTCTTCAAGTACCAAAGAGCGGCTCGAAGAGCAGGTGAGGACCACGCCAGGTCTTCGCTGGAGCGGACATCTCCTCCTGTGAGGCCTGAGACCAAGGGGGAGGGGCCAGGTGACAAGCCCCATCTGGCTGACCCTGGAGCTGGGCCTGCACCTTGCAGGTGGTGGCATGGCCCTGAAAGGTGGCACATCCAGGACTCCCTGCAGTGAGATTGGCTTCTAAACAACAGAACAGGTGGGCATGACTATCAATGTACTCAGCATGCATGGGTGAACCTGCTTCAAACACCCACAAGCTACATGGACGATGGAACCATCACCTTTCTCCAAAGGGGCATGGGGTGTGAGGGCTCAGCCCTGGAAGACATGGACTCATCAGAGAAGAGGGCATCTGCAGGCATTCTCAGAGCTGGAGAGTGCTGAGACACTGTCCCTCCTCTGAGGCTGGCTGTCCTAGAGATGACCAGATCCAAGAATGTGTCACCTGCACCTGCCTCAAAACAAACAAAAAGAGGGCCCCAGCATCAGACACTGGGGACAAAAGAGTCCTGAAGACCAGACACACCTGCCCAAGGCACACTCAGGTGCAATCCACTGGACAATGTGCTCCGAGGACTGGCCATTGGAGTCCAGCAACAGTCCCAGAGGGCACAGGCAGGCTCAGGGAGCTCCACCAGTCACTTGCCTTAGAACAGCCTGACATCCACGTCCTTCCCTCAAGGCTGACACTCTCTCAAGGACGAAGCCCACCAGGGAGTAGCAGGTTAGGGGAGTAGCAGGTGAGCAGCAGCATCGGCTCCGTGCTCCACCCTCCACCACCCATTCATGTGTCCAGAGAGGTGCGAGGTTAGTGCCGGAAGCAGGAAGCCTTCTGGGTATGACTTGGTATGGAGAAGAGGCAGATCCGTGTGATTTATCCTTAAAAAAGCAAACCACCATTAAACTCGGTGCACACAAAAAGGACCCTCCTCTCCCGCTGCCTCCAGGGAGTCCACAGGAAGAACCAGCACAGAGGGCAAAGGCAGAACCCAAGGGCCAAGATCACAGCCAAGCTCACGTTCCCAGACAGGAAAGCCAGGCCGTACCTGAGACGGGGTGACATCCACGGCTTTGTCCTGGAGACAGCAGGGTCTGAGCGCCTTCCCCGACAGAGTTTGATACGCAAATAAGAGTCTCCCCCTGTATATTCACCATTAATCAAGTGAACATACAAAGGGTATCCTCTCTTCAAGTACCAAAGAGCGGCTCGAAGAGCAGGTGAGGATCACGCCAGGTCTTCGCTGGAGTGGACATCTCCTCCTGTGAGGCCTGAGACCAAGTGGGAGGGGCCAGGTGACAAGCCTCATCTGGCTGTCCCTGGAGCTGGGCCTACCATGCAGTTGACTTTACTTCCCAGCATCTCTTCAAGACATGATTGGTTACCAAAAGACAGGCAATCCTGTACCATTTGAAATAATGTAAATGTAAAACGACTGAAATCCCTTTAGGGCCTGCAAAAATACCCTGGGAGAAGAACCTCTGCCTCTGCCCAAAGCCACTGCCTCCAGGAAGCCCTCCTGGTGAACACTGGCTAAGGGAGGTTAGAAGATGCAGTAACATGCATCATTAAAGAAAAAAGAGAAACAGAAATCCAGCACATTCCATTTGCAAATCACAAAGCAGCACTATGACAAGTGTCCCTTCTCCTGAATTTGGCATTGTACTCAGAAAGCCATCTGAGCAGTTAGTTGTTACTAAGTATTCATCTAGTTGTTACTCAAAAGTATTGGCAAGATTCATCAAAGGAAAATGAGATTCTCATGGGCCAACTCTCTCTGAATAAACAGATACTAACATCAGGAATCCAAGGGTCTTCCCATTGGCAAGAATCCCCAAAGGACGCCTATGGACTAAGAGAGTAGTGGGGCTTAGAGGTCCCAGTAGCAAGTGCCGTAGCCACACTGGGTGCTCTGGAGCCTCCTTCCTGTGGAGTAGCCTTCCCTCAAGTGGACAGTGAGGTCCAAAAGTCACTCTAAGGATGGACTAGGTATGGAGAGTGGGTGGACCAGATGACCCACGTCTACATTAGACATTGACTTTGCTGACAGTCATTCTTTCATGTATCGGGGAGATGCATTGACCAGAAGACCTCTTCTCAGAGGCTGGCATCATGCTGGGCAGACCTGCCGGAGTAGCAGCCCACGGATGCCTTGTGATGAGCAGGGCCCATCCAGGGAGGCCCTTTGTTCTTTCTTTTTTTTTTTTTTAAACTTATATTTTTGAGACAGGGGTCTCTTTCAGCCAGACTGAAGTGCAGTGGCACGATCTTGGCTCACTGCAATCTCCCAACTCCCAGGCTCAAGTGATCCTCCAGCCTCAGCCTCCTAAGTACTGGGACCACAGGCACACACCATGACGCCCAGCTAATTTTTGTATTTTTTGCAGAGACGGGTTTTTGCCCAGTTGCCCAAGTTAGTTTTGAACTCCTGGGCTTAAGCCATCCACCGTCTCAGCCTCCCAAAGGGCTGGGATTACAAGCGTGAACCACCATGCCCGGCCAAGGGAGGCCCCTTTTTTCTAAGCAGAACAGGTGCTCTGAAAAGAAAACCTTATATCATCTCCAAAGCCAGCATCTCTTCCAGAATGTTCTCGGAAGGACGCATGAGATGAAGAGGGTCAGAGAACCAGGTCACAAACAGCAAGACAGAGGCACGTGCCTTGTGGTCAACCATCCACACCCCAGGGCTATCCTGGCCATCTGACAGATTGCTGGAGTCAGCCTTGTTCCCAAGAAGGCTTCCGAGGCAGGATTTGCTCCCTAGAGAGTCTGCCTTTGTATAATCATTGCAAGTAAACCAAAAGCAGGGAGGATTACCTCTCTTCAAGCAGCAAATGATGGCAGTGACAGAAGGCCACTTTCACTGTGACTAAGCTGCCACCAGCTCCAGGAGCAAGCCTGAGAGACACAGATGGGATCTGCATGGTGAGGGCAGCACACCGAGGTGTGAGTGTGAAGTGCAGACCTGCGGGTGAATCGTAAGTCTATTCCTTCCATAGCCCCTGACAGCCCACTCAGGTATTCTCTAAGGTACAACTAGTCACAGAAAAAGAGGTTCATTCCAGAAAATGCATAGCAATCATGGTAAACACACAGAGAACAAACTTCGTTCAAGGTCAATGAGGCAATACTGAGAACATAGCCTTGTAACAACACATTATGCACGCGCCCGGGGCAGTGAGCAAACAGCAGAGAAGCTGACGGCGTATTTCACACAAAGTACAATTCTGTATCTGTCCGTCCTGTACCCGAGAGGGGTACAGATGGCATCCCTTCTTCCATGGCGACTTCACGTCCTCCGAGGTTTTCAAAGCAGCATTTGATACTGAAAACGTGGATTTTCCTCTATGATTAATCATAAATAATGTACTCATAGAAGGAGAATCTACCTTTTAAATACCAAAGAAGGATTCCATCCAGGAAAACGCGCACCTGTGCTTGAGTCATCAGAAAAGAAAGTCACATGAGGCAGACGAGCTTCCACAGAAAAACTGGCACCACAAGACCCACAATTTAATCTTCACCAAGTTGGCATCTCAAGATGGTTCTCAGGCGCACCCCATACATTCAGATACGACGCGCGGCCCACCATCTTTGCACCTAATCAGGCCCTACGGTCTCTTCCGGAAGCATTTCCAAAGCAGCATTTGATACTGAAAACATGGATTTTCCTCTATGATTAACCAGGAATCACGTAAACATAGAAGGAATATCCACGTTTTAAATACCAAAGAAGGACTGGGCTCTGGAAAGGACAAATCTGAACGCAGTTCATGGAAAATGGAAGCAAGACAGCAAAGCAACCGTTTTCAGTCCCATGGCGTAGCCGTGACAACACACCACAGCCTGTGTGCCAAGCTGGCTCCTCAGCGAAAGGGGGCTTCTAAAGGTGATGGTCAGCAGACATATGGCACGAACTCAGCACATGTTCTGCGGCCCACCATCTTTCCACTTACCCTGGAGGGCTCAGCCCCACCTCACGTCCCAGCTGGTGGCTTCCGTCCAGCCATGATCCCAAGGCAGCATTTGATACTGAAAACGTGGATTTTCCTCTATGATTAACCATCAAACACGTAACCATAGAAGGAAAATCTACCTTTTAAATACCAAAGAAGGTTTCATCCCGGAAAGCACGAACCTAAGTACAATCCATCAAACACAAAAGTAGCATAACACAGAGGAGAGCATTCGGCCTCATGGAGAAACTGACGACAGAGCCCAGACGCTTGGCTGAGCGGGCAGCTCGCGAGAGGGGTCTTCTCAAGATGGGCAGGTGGTCCACAGACATATGGCACGAATTCAGCACATGTTCTGGGGTCCACCGACTTTCCACTTACCCTGGATTGGGGGGGGGACTTTATTGTCTCTTCCCTGATGGTGGTTTCAGTCCAGGAATGTTTCCAAGCAGCATTTGATACTGAAAACGTGGAATTTCCTCTATGTTTAACCATAAATAACATAAACATAGAAGGAATATCCACCTTTTAAATACCAAAGAAGGATTGAGTCCTGGAAAGCATGAACCTAAGCACAATCTATCAAGATTAAAGACAGCACAGGACAGGTGCAGTCGGCAGGGGCCTCCCGGGCTAGCAGCAGTGACGTGCGCCCTGCGGAGGACACATGTCCCAGGACAGACCTTGCTAACAAGAGCTTAGGTTCTGGGATTCACCTTCCATCACTCTCTGCATGGGGCCAGGGGCTAACCTTCCTCTCAGAAATGTTCAGAAATATTTTAAAAGCGGCCTTAGATACTGACAATGTGGATTTTCCTCTATGATTAACCATAAATCCTGTAAGCATAGAAGGAACATCCACCTTTTAGATGCGAAAAGTTGGAACAGCCCTGGAGAACACAAACCCAAACATGACTCATCAAAGAGAGAAGGTAATGGAAGCAGGTGAGTGCTTTGAGTCCCACATGGGAAGCGCAGGGCCCACCCCCGCCTCTTCACGTCCAGAGATGGAACTCCTACGTAGGCACGCGT